CAGACCAACCATAGTGCAGGGCAGTGTTGCACTTAAAAGTTGGGGTCCAGGATCCTCAAGGCTAAGCAGGGCCCACATCCTGCAGTTGTTTCCAGGCCCTTTGTTATGCTGCCCATCACATTACTGTTTTATTCTGCTTATTTCTCCTCTGCTCCCCTGAAGTGCTGAAAAACATCGCCCTCCACAGAGGCCCTGCTGGGACAGACTGTGTGATGCGTGTACACACGAACCAGTCTCTACTCCCAAAGCCTTTCCTGGAAGGCAGTGTGCACAGCGCCAGGTAGAGCCCTATTTCCCTCTAGGGCCACAGACTTCACTTTTAATGGCTTCTCTATCACACTCCCTGCTTGGCAAATTTCTAGGGCTCTCAGTTTGTCCAAAAGGACTGTCCTGCCTGGCTTGAGGTGATGCCCTGTCCCCTGGCCACCATGATCTGAGATCTCAGAGCCAGGCAGCTGCCCTGTGTGGCTCCAGCTTAGTGCTGAAGTTGGCCCTGGAAGGAACTTTTTTTTACATCTTCCATTTATCATCCTAAAAGGTTCATCTCAAATCCTATCAGATAGATCAATTATCCAGAAATGGAGCAGGGCCTTCTCCTGTCTCTTCCCCCGACAACAATGGTACCACCCTCCCGAGTGGGTACATTTGGGATATTTAATTTGGCAAATGAGTGACAACCCCTCCTAGAAGCCTGGCGCCTGCCTGTGGCAGCTCTGAGAGAAAACAGAGGAGCACACGCCCAACCCCATTACCAGGAAGGACGGAAAAAAAAAAAAGGCATAAATCTACCAGCCCAATGGAGCCCCTTGGGAAAGCCTTCATCTCCAGTCTCCAGCACAGGAGGGCTCTCAGTCACACCCATTCACAATCAGCTACACCCCACAAACTGAAACCACCCTGAAATGCTGCTAGCTAAGGATTATCTGCTCCCAGCTTTTTCTACTCGCAGTCATCTTAAACCTCACCCTAAGCGCTAGTCCACAGAATTAAAGACTCTGGGGAAAGGATGGGAATCAAATTCATTGAACAGGCCTATTTTGATTATTTGATTGATGCTAGATTGGTTGATGATTGACTGAGACTTTTCAAGATAGCTGTTCCAGTCCCAACTACACATGGTACAGCCCACGCCATGAACACAAATCTAAATTTGATGGGGTAAAGAGAGTGAGGTTCAAAAACAAGATTTCTTCTTGATCAATAAGCCAGGGGTGGTAGTGCTTGCCTGTAATCTCAGCTATATAGAAAGCATTAATAGGAGGATCTAGGCCTAGGCTAGTCTATGCAAATCATGAGACCTTATCTTAAAAGAAAAAAAAAAGATGGTACTGCAATTACCTAAAAAATGTGAGCCCCTACCCCTGAATTCAAGCCTCAGTACAACCAATAAAGAGGAAAGAGAGTAAGAGAAAACTAAATATCTCATGCATGTGCATAAAGACCTGATTAGATGCAATCAGGGATTCATATGGGCATATTAATAGATGAGTAATTAGAGTAGCTCACTACAGCAAGGGAAGGGGGAAATTCTCCTTTTATTGCTTACATTTTATACGACTTGTATTTGCCAAATAATGATGTACTAGGAGTTATTTCTCTATTTAAAATGTGTAGCTGAAAATTACCTCTTAAAAAAGGGTATGGAAATGAAATATTTACAAGAATCCCTTTTTAATACTGAGCTTTTTTAATGCATTAAAAACAATTTGGTTACTTCACAACCCATGGCAAAAAAAAAGGAGGAGAGCAGGTCATTGGTATCACAGCTGACAAATAGAAGAAAGTCAAATAGAACAGTGTGCAAATCGTTACACACCTAAGAATATTTAGGGTTTCTTTCCTGACAATGGCCCTGGGTGTGAAAGTCAAGCTGACTAGACCTCTCCCCTCCACTACCCTCCTTCCTCTCCCCACCCTCGCTCTCTGGACTGTAGGGAACTGGTGGTGCTTACTCAGCAGTGTGCCATGAAGCCACAGTAACAGCAAAGAAGGCTGGCTAGAAATGTTGGAGAGATTTCCACCCACAGATCTATGTCAACTTCTCCACCTCTTTCCTTTTTCAATTTTAATACCACATTTTCCTGCAAATGATGGACCATTCTTCTTTGTGGCCAAATAATATTCTATTGGTTATATATGCCACCTTTTCTTTATCCACTCATCCAATGATAGACATCTAGTTTGATTTTTTTTGTATGCTACTTTGAAAATGTGAACTAAAAACAATGTGTGTGTGTGTGTGTGTGTGCGTGCGTGCGCGCGCACGTGCGCGTGTTCCTGGGGCTGGAACTCAGAGTCTGAGTGCTATCCTTTAGCTTTGTGCTCAAGGTTAACATTCTATCCCTTGAGCCACAGCTCTATTTCTGGCTTTTGGTGGTTAATTGGAGATAAGACTTCCCTGCCCCAACTGGCTTCAAACCTAGATTCTCAGATCTCAGTCTTCTGAGTAAAATACAATGTTAATGTTTAAGAAGATGGCATACCAAAGAAACATAGGTCCCATGGTTTCCCTTATTTGCAATATCTAGTATAGGTATGAGTCAAGCGGAAAAAGTCAGAGAATGTGAAGTTAGGAAAACGAACCCTCAAATATGTATTTTAATGTTTTTGTTTCTTTCATGCATGTGTTTCTAACGCATTTATAATATTTTTTCTTTGTTGCTTTGTATGTCCCTCCCCCACAGTGTAACCCCCGCTTTCACTATATTTGATGTCAGTATAACATGTGGAGGAGACGGGGACAAACAAGTCGTTTAAGGATTCAGGTGGACCTGTTGCAACAATGAGAAGTACAAAATGTCATGTCAAAACCAGCTTTACAATGTCGGTGGGGGGGGGGGAGGGGGGTATGATTGGGTGGGGGGGAGGGGGGAGGCTGGGAAGGGAGGTGAAGGGTAAACAAAGGAGGAGGCTGCAATGCTTGGTAAGAAATGTATGCATTTTCCTGCCCATGTAATTGTAACCCCTCTGTACAGTATGTTCTCAAATAAAATAAAATTAAATTAAAAAAAAAAAAAGAAAGTAGGATGGAATTCACAGCTATTCTACAATAAAAAAAAAAAAAGAAGATGGCATACACTGAAGAATACATTACATAGATATATCAAATTATCACACTGGGCTCCATATATACATAAAATTAAGACAATAATTTATATGCAAAAATAAACAAAATAGATGTCTTTTAAATGTAGTGCTACAAATACGCTGGATATCTGTTTATGTACTATGACTCTTTGGGGGTCCACTAATGAGTATAAAAATGTTTACCTCTTATCCAAGAATCAATTTTTGTCCTCTCAAGAAGGACTTCCACACTACTGGGCTATACTGAAAGTGTACAGAGAAAATGCAAAAAACCAGGCAGGCACTGGTAGCTGGTAACCCTAGCTACTCAGAAGACTGAGAATTCATGGCTGGACATCAGGGGGAAAAACAATCCCAGAAGTGGAGGTGTGGTTCAAGTGGTAGAGGGTCAACCTTGAGCAAAAAAAAAAAAAAAAAAAAAGCAAAGCAAGAGCATGAGGCCCTGAGTTTAACCCCAGTACCAGAAAAAAGAAAAACAGGAAATGTGAGAAGCAATATATACTTCCCACTGTGTTGATAATAGCCCCCTGAGTGGTTTAAACTTGCATCTTTGTTGAGAATTACTCGCTAAGAAAGTGAAAGAGCCTTTCTCCACTTGTGTGTGTGTACACCTTTCATAATGATGCCAGAGGAATAAAGCCACACACTTGTAAAGTGAAAAAAAAATAAATAGAGAGAAAAGGAAAGGGAAAGAAGACAATAGATATTTCAGGAGCATTGTACAGAAATGTGGATTTGGTTAAGACCAATCTTGGCAGCATTACTTGACTACCAGGTGCCCAGCTGAGCCCTTGCTAATAATGTCTTATTTTCTGGTGATGCTCTTCCTGAAGAGGCCCAACAGAGGCTACCAGGGACGTGAAAAAGAGAGAAGGGAGGGGGAGGGAAGGGGGAAGGAGAGAAGAGCGAGGAGAGGGGGGAGAAAGAGAGAGAGACCATCTGATAAACACACTCATGTGTGTCTGAAAAGGCCAAGGATAGAAGATCTTACTGAAGCAGACTTCCATCAACCCAAGACCTCCCAGGGTGCTTTGTGTTCCAAAGATGCCAGGAGCAAACAGCTCTGAAAGACGCTGTTCAGAGGCACTCTTGAACCTCCACTTAGGAAGAAATAAGGGTGGATGGAAGGTGGCCAGTTAGTAGCACACATACTGCTAAGTCTGCGAAGTTACCCAACCTGAGCAAGAAAGCAGCAACCCAAATGTTCTAGAACTCTGTGGCTGCCTTCCACCAGACAAAGGTTTGGCCTCTCAACCTTCTCACCCACTCCCTAATGGGGTTCATTCTAGAATCAAAGTTATCTAGAGAATTCCCACAGCAAAAAAAAAAGTGTGCATGATGTATAGAATGTATAAATGCACGGATACACACACATATATGAACAAGCTTCATAAAACAACACTGCCAACACCTGCCACGCATTCTAATATATTCCACTCAAAGTTCTATTTCCCTTTTGGAATGCTGGTCACCGTGTATTCAAATGTCCCATCACCCCACTAATGGGTCGTAACCTCCAATTTAAAGATGGAAATATACTCCAACCACCCAGACCCGCAGCAAGAACGCTAAGACTCAGTGAGGTCAAGGCTAAGACCCCAAGGCTACTTCCTAGCAGATCTAGGAACAGCAGAGACCAAGTCAGGGTGGGCCGATGTCTGCGCCGTGATTAGAACATCTCCCCATCAGTGCTTAGCTCCACACTTCTACCTCACTGGGGGCTGTGGAGGTCCCCAAGCATTCACTTGAGGGTGTAGAGGTCTGGAAACAACACCCCCTGGCACTCTTTTGAGGGTGTGGGGGTCCCCAGACAATTACCCCGGCACCCACTTGGGGGCGTGGGGTCCCCGGGCACTCACTCGGGTGCGCAGGGCCCTGCACTCACTTGGGGGCGTGGGGTCCCCCGCACTCACTTGGGGGTGTGGGCCTCGTCCGGGCGCTGGCCCAGCTGGAACTCGTGGGACTTGCTGCGGTGCAGCGCGGTGAAGCCTGGGATCAGGTGGATCAGCTTGCGGGAGGAGGGCGGCGGGGTTCCGGGGGGCTTCAGCTTGTTCCTCCTGCGCGCGGGCGGCGTGCCAGGCGGGGTCACCGTGACGATGTTGGGGGTCCGCGGCGGGGTGCGCGCCGCGTGCCGCTGCCGGGGCGAGGGCGGCAGAGAGCGGGGTCCCGACTCTAGCGGCCCGGGGCGGTCCACGGAGAGCCGGTCCCCGTGGGCCCGGGGGTCCCCGTGCGCCGCGGGCGCGGGGTGGCACAGGTGCGGGGCGCAGCGGGCCGGCACGCGGGGGCTCGGGGACGGGTGCGGGGCGCGGGCGCGGGCCGCGGGCTCCGCGGGGCACAGCGGGCTGTTCTCCTTGCCGGGCTCCGGCGTGGGCCATTGGATTGTCCAGTCTTGCTTGGAGGGGTTCCCACCTGCGTGGAAATGGGAAACACGTGAGCCGAGGCGCACCAACCAGATGCCTGTGTGCGCCTGACGTCGCGCTTCGTCATATACGCCCGACGTCATGCGCATGCGCCTTCTCACTAGCACGTGGTAGCCCCAGCAGGCCGCGGGCCAGTCACCCGGTGTGCGCATGTGCTTGGCACGGTGCGTCCCTTACAGCGTGCGCACGTGGCGTCACGTGCAATTATTACACCGCACGCGTACCGTGTCCTAGGTACACAAGCACGTGCGCGTCGCCTCGCGTGTCCCTTACAGCCTACGCAATTGTACCACGTCACGGGCACCCCGCGGCACGTGCACACTGGATCCGCGCCACACGGAGACCCGAGGTGGGCAAGAGACGGGGCGGAGGCCACACAGCAGGGAAGGGCCGCTCGGCTGGGGCTGGGGGCGTCAGGCAGCCCTGGCGCTGCCCGGAGGGAGGGAGGCCGGCCCCGCGGCGGGTCCCGGAGGGAGGGAGGGAGGGAGGCCCCGCGGCGGGTCCCGGAGGGAGGGAGGGAGGGAGGCCCCGCGGGCCCCGGAGGGAGGGAGGGAGGGAGGCCCCGCGGGCCCCGGAGGGAGGGAGGGAGGGAGGGAGGCCGGGCCCGGAGGCCGGGCAGCTCCTTCCCACTCCGCATCGAGCCGGAGGTCGCGCTGGTGGATGCGTTTCCCGGCTGTGACTCAGTGTCTCCACGTGTGACTGGGTAGCGCGGAACTCCGGCGCGGGGGTTCCCGGGGTGTGGCAAGGACAAGTCACCCGGCTTAAGGACTGGCACCCGCCAGTGTTGCGGGCGTGTTTGTGGACAACAGGAGAAAACGCCTATCTGCAAGATGCCACTGAAGATTCAATGAGATGAAGGTATACGGAGCCTTGTTCCTGCCTGACACAGAGCCAGCACGCAACATTTCCTAGTCCTTGTCTTACAGATTTTTCCAGGCGTTACCCTCATGTCTCCAAGGGCAAACTCAGCCAGCCCTTATTGAGGTTGAATTGAGCTCCCCCAAGAAAGATACTCCGAACCCCCCCCCCCATGCACTATTGATAAAAGAGTCTTTGCTGATATAAACCGTGATGGGTAAGAGGAGCATGGTGGTTCATGCCTGTAATCCCAGCACTGGAGAGGCTGAGACAGAAAGATCATGATTTCAAGGCCAGCCTGTGTTACTTGGTGATATCCATAAAGAGGAAAAGACAGGATCAAGCACAGTAGCTTCACACTCAAGAGGTTTTAATAACTTTTAAAAAGACAGGTCAAGTGGTAGAACACCTGACTAGCAAATATGAAGCCCTGAGTTCAAACCCCGTGCTAAAAAGAAAAAAGGGAAACAGAAAAAGAAAAGGTGGGACATAGAAAGGTTGAATAAAGATGGATATAGAGATTGTAAGGATGAGGCTATGAGCCAAGGAATGTTGAGGAGTCCTGGCCCTCACCAGACAACAACCAGGGAGAAAGAGGCTCAGAATAGATAGTTCCCCAGACTTTAGAGGGGTACAGTCCAGTACACACCCTGACTCAACACTTCAAGCCCCAGAACTGTGATAAAATTAAATGATAGGGGCTTCCTGACAGCAGCCCTGGAATGTTCCAGCAAGAAGCAACAACATGTGTTTCATGCCATCTCATAGTGAGCGTGTGAGTTAGAGGGTCCAGCACCCTTCATGCTGGCCTGCATCCATGCTACTGGACAAGAGACCGCAAGTCGGTAAAGTCATCTGTGGCAATAGGAGATACTCCACTTCCCTAAACAACCTATAGTTCCTCCAAGGACACACACACATACACACTGCACTGCACTGCACTGTGTTCAAGGAGCTTCCAGCTCTCCCTGCTCCCCCCACCATCTTTGCTAATTTCCCTGCCTTACCTAAAAGTTTCTTTTCAAAGCCTAAAAAGATCAAAAAGGATGGAAGCCAATCTTTACCCGCCCCTCCCCACCAAATTCCCTTCGCCATGAAATATTCTTCCTTTCCATCCCCTCCATCTCAAAATCAGAAGTCTGGGGATGAAAAAGAAAAAAGAAAAAAAAGAAGAAAAAGGTCTCATTTCATTACTCCAAATTGCCGGCTGCTAAATTGCTAGCGACTCCACTCCGCACGGAAGAAGCTACAGAAGCATCTCAACCCACCCTTCTTCCTTTTGATCCTCTTTTTAATAAAGTCTGAGGGAAAAAGAGGTAATTTTTCATTTTAAATAGGAAAGGTGTGGCAACAAGAAGCTCCAAGGGATAGTAATCGTCATCTTCCCTATCTTGTCACCCGTTTCTGGAAAGTCATTTTATTTCAAGTCTTGAGATGGGCGGGGAGACAGGAATGGGACTTAAGAAATGAAAGGTCTCCAGCTTGATGAAAAGCATTTGCAAGGTGCACCATTTTTCTTTTGGCCTCCTCTGATAAGAGACTGAGAGAAATAAAAGCCATCTCTCGAGGGGGAAAATAATTTCAGGAACTCTAGGCAAGTGTCTAAGTTCTTTGTCACTTCCTATTAAACCTGTATAAACAGGCAAAAGTGTGGCTTCGAATTTCAGAGTGGGCATCTGAACATCTGCTCCCTGCCTTTGCCTGCCACAGACAGCTCAGGCAGAGAGACCCTGGGCGGGGGTTAGCAGATTAAGGATGTGCATGAATATTTCCAAGTGCTTGTTAGTTGATCCCTATAACTTTTGGGCAAGAAGCAGAACTTTCAGACACTGCTTGAAAACGTGTCTGCAGTCATAAGTATAGAAAATGATAGCAGCCAGGCTACAGTGGCTTATGTCTAGCATCCCAACTATTCAGGAGACTAAGATGTGAGGATTGCAAATTTAAGCCAAGCCTGCCTGGCAGAAAACTCCGTGACACTCTTATCTCCAATTAATTAGCAAAAAGCTGCAAGTGGAGCTGGGGCTCAAGTAGTAAGTGTTGAGTGAAAAAAGCAAGCTAGAGCATGAGGACCTTGAGTTCAAGTCCCAGTATGGGCACAAAATCAGCACCACCACCACCACCACCACCACCATCATCATCATCATCATCATCATCACAGAGCAAGTGGAACTGTCTAACACTGATTTCTCATTTAATAGCATCACAACCATGGTTATGAACCAACATGGCAGGCTGATGCTGGCAGATGGGTAAGGCTCCCAATTTGAACTGTTCACTGGGGCTGTGGTCTGATACAAGCCCCCAAAAACTCAGGTTTGAGGGGGGTAGTGGGCATGGCTCAGTCACAGTGGATGTGGTCCGGTGGGCGTGGTCAGGCGATGGGGGCCTGATGTACCCATAGTGGGCTTAGCTGAGTGGTAGGGCACTGCCTAGCAAACGTAAGTTCAAACCCCAGTACTGTCAAAAATAAAAAGAAGGGTTCTTGTGAGTTGGTGGCATCTTCCCAAGTCTGGGAGCAGGTATGACTGGGAGAAAGGGTCTGCTTACATCAACCCCAGTCCTGCATACCCAGCATCCCTTGGCAGACCGGAGTACCCTCCACCCAGGCAACTATTATTAGGAGCCTGGTCCTGCCCCTGCTCCTGGCCCCACGGCTGACTCATCCCCGACTTCCAGTCTCGGCTGCCGGTTGGCTGAGATTTTTCCAGAGAGGGAGATGGCGTTCGTGATTGATGCACTCGATCATAAAAATAACCAGTTATTTTCATGCAATGAGTCACCCCTAAAAATACCCCAGTGCTCGAAGGGCAAACGCCGGGGGCGTACTCACTCCCACACTCTACTCACACTCACACACACACTCGGGCATGCACTCACACACTTGTGTGCATGCGCCAGTATGCGCTCACACTCACACCCATACACATTGCCACACACTGCCGCACACACGCGCATGTGCACGCGAGTGCACACACACACACACACAGAGCTGTCCTCAGGCTGGAACACTGACGGGATATGCTGGGAGCCTGGCTCCTCCCTTGGGACAGCAGGCAGCATATGAGTCTCTGCCTGCTGCTATGACAAAGAAGACACTCTATGGCAGCTTAATCCCACACCCACTTCTTACCCTAACCACGGGTGGGCTGATGTCACAAGCAGGTCTGACTGGACTGACATCAAAATGTCAGCAGAAGCTGGGCGGCAGAAAAGTCTGTGAGACTCTTATCTCTAATTAACCATCAAAAAGAAAAGAAAAAAATGGCTCCAAGTGGCAGAGCACTAGCCTTGAGTGAAAAACCTAAGAGAAAGCACTCAGGCTCTGAGTTTAAGCCCCAATATTGGCGCGCACACACACGCGTGCGCGCACAAAGGCACACACACGCAGCCTCCATTACTGCTTCTCTCAGTGCCATCTGATTGATAATTGCAGGCTGACGCTGGCTTGATAAATGGCCTATGCATTGTCATTACTGAGTGTTTACCTGATCTGTTTAATGAATATTAATTCGTAAGAAACAATATTTCCATTCTTGAAGCAATTCGGGGCAAAATGATGTTTTTCTCCTGCTCTCCCTCCCTTCCCTCTTGGAGAGAACACAGAGTTAAGTAATAACAGGCCTTGTCAGGGTGATTTATGGTGCATGAAGACAAAGAGAGAGAAGGAATTTGCTCTCCTTCCTCAGGTGGTGCCTGAGGAAGGGAATGGAGGGAGAGAGAGAAGGGAGAGAGGGAGGGAGGGAGGGAGGGAGGGCTGCCATCCCCCCAGAGCTGGGAGCAGGCTGGGGGGGGGGGGGGATGGAGTTCTAGGCCAGAGAGAAGGTTTGGGCAAGACAGAGGATGAGGTAAGTTCATTGTCTAGGATGTCCCCAGGAGCATTGGAAGCTCTGTCCTGGGAGCACCCCCGCCCCAGTGCAACCCAGACAGGGTCACTCCACTTAGAGCTTCAGGAGTTCTTTCCAGAGGATGCCTGCTGGCTGTGGGTGGCAGGGTGTGAGGCCTGATACCCACTCTATCTCCCAAGAGACTCCCGTGTCTGCCCTGCCCTTCCCCATGCTAAAGCGCTTATTTAAGTTAGGCACTGATGGCTCACACCTGTCTTCCCAACTACTCAGGAGGCTGAGATCT